ATATATATATATATATATATATATATATATATTTATATATACAGGGTGTTTTTTTTAACTTGAGACTGCTAAATATCTCGAAAAATAAGCATTGTACGACAAAAATGTCACAAATAAACCCTCAATAGTTTCGAGAGCGCAATTTAATCCCACAAAAATTATCCACCTCCCGCCCCCCCTGGGGATCAACTTTGAAATCTTAAATGGGAACCTTTACTTTTTATTACAGATTCGGATTCTACATCCAAAAATACGTAACTTTTGTCTGAACTTTTTTTTTCTATTTCAACCGTGTTCTACGAACACCTTTGCTGGCGGCAAAGAAGCACTTGACCGCCACTTCGAGACGTAAGCACGCTCTCTCGCTTTACCTAAAGCAGTGGTATTTTTCGTAATATTACAGACCACTAATTCCAATAGAGTAAAGTGAGAAGAAATAATTACTTTTTAAACGAAATCGATATCTTTTGTAGTTGCCGAAAGAAAGCAAAAAATGCTGGCGGCATATGATCATTCGACCGCGACGTCGTGCTCAGGCTTTTACATGCCACTAGCATTTATTGCTTAATTTCGGCAACTACAAAAGATATCGATTTCGTTAAAAAAGCACTGTCTTCTCCATACTTTACTCTATTGGAATTAGTTGTTTATAATATTACGATTAATACCATTGCTTTAGGTAAAGTATAGAAATGCGCGAATGTTTCGATGTTGCGATCAAGCTCTTACATGTCACTAGCATTTATTCCTTCTCGGCAACCACGAAAAATATTGATGTTATTTAAAAAGCACTAGTTTTTCCACAGTTTATGCTACTGGAATTAATGGTTTTTAATAATGCGATTAATATCGTATGTATATGTAGAACATGGAAGTGGGCGTGCTTTTCGGCGCGTGGTCAGGTTCTCGCATATACATGTACATATGATATTTCGTACGCATATACACGTAAATTTATGACAGTGCGTAAAGAGAAAAGATCATGTGCATGTTGAATGGAATATAAGTTCGTACGTAATAGTCCATGTTCTTAACCACGCAATTACGCGCTTAGCACGGACACGAATCGCCAGGAAATGGGCGTAGAATAGACACGCACCGAATTGCTGCTTTACCGGCTTTACCGGTCTGAAAATAGGCGTAGGGAACGTAGTTCCACCTGAAAAATGGGTGCAGATGGCGCATCGCACCAGCGTGAAAATCAGTGTCGCCCAAAACATATGGCGTGGTCGCACTCAGACTTCTCTCTGTGGGTAGGTAACGTTACGCAACGTAGCGTAACGTTTTCGTGCGTTGCCGTACGTTCAGCTTATGTCTCATATAATGTAAGATTATCACGTAAGATGGCGTAAGGAACTACGGCTCTAAGGGCCGTGGCACACAAAAAAACATAAGCAGTAAGACGTAAGTAGTAAGTAAATTGACCAATCACAGTCGTTGATTCTTGGACCGTAAGAAGAATCAATGACTGTGATTGGTCAATTTACTTACTACTTACGTCTTACTGCTTATGTTTTTCTATGTGCCACCAGCTTAATACATACGCTTATGTGTATGCGCAAATGACGCGCACTTGGCCGCTCGCTCCCCCCCCCCCTCAAGTTACGACGGTCAGTTTATCTAGCTTTTATGGAGCCTAAAGTTTTTGTTATAGCCGTTATCCAGGTATTGTTATTATCGATTATACAATCATTATTATTTTATTATTATCCACTCATATCACTTCACGAATATTATCACACGATTATCGAGCAAATATTAATAATCGTACAATAATATCCGTGAGTGGGTAACAGCTAAATAAAGATGACCGAATAATCGGTAATAACAATAAATAATAATATCTGGGCAATGGTGGTACTAACTGAACGAAGATGAGGTAAAGAAATTATTGTAACGGCACGTCTGAGTTGCTTTCCTATGCGTAATAGCAATAATTAAATAATAACCGAATAAAGAATTAATAATACTAAAACAATTTAAATGGATACTGATAATATTTGATCGGCACTGAGAACGCTCGATCGCGACGTTCCTCTGTCTAACAAGTAAAAACGTAAATGAAATGCGGTAATTTCCCGCTGCGATCAAGGCTACAATATCTGCTCGCGTGATAAGTACGCGTCTCAAATCGTGTTAATTATTGCCTTAATTGTTGCAAAATCAAAATGCAATATTAAAAATTGGCGTGAAGTAGTTTAGAAGATAACGCGATTGCCTCGGCGGCTGACAGCGTTATGGCGTGATCATAGACATAATATATCTAGATCGAGCGTTGAGAAGTAAGAGGGGGTAAAATGTATAGAGCTCTACAAGGGTTTAGACTGCACAAAGACTAGATAAATTGACCGTCGTAACGGCCGCTCGACCGTTAACTGGGCGGCATTGGGAGGGCCG